GAAAAAATAATGATTTCTCAGGCATATATAATAGCTAAAATAGTTGTCCATTGACAGAGCCGAACTCTAAATAACAATTACTAAGTATTTATTTCAACAAGAAGGAAAAGGGAACCAGAGTGAAGACAGACTATATTAAAAATATCATGAAGTACAGATATTGACCAAATGTGCCAGTAAATTTATTTTCTATAGAGAATAAAAATATAACTACTTTTTTTTGCTTAATTAAAAAAAGAAACTGAAAGCCTAGCCCATACTAGTGTGAGAGTACCTGGAGGTGTTTAATGGGTAGTTAAAAGTGCACCAAAAGCCCTTGCCACAGTCACAAAGAGAAGCACCAAATAAACCCAGATTTGTAAAGATAACTTATATTTAAATATTTAGATGACAAAATTAAGGATAATGTCTATAATAATTAACAATAAAAATTATATATTATAAACAGCAGAGGATAAATAGGATAAAGATAATTATTTTGGGTTAAAAGAAATTCATAAAAAAAGCATTTTTGAATGCAAAGATATAGAAGACAAAATGCAAAATAAAGTGTTATTAACAAGTACAACTATAACAGAAAGCAATAATTACAAAAAATTAAACTTACCTATTAAAATACACATTATCTACTTGTTATGAACACAAAAATAAATCTAAACTTATGCTGCTAAGACATACCCAAAAGAGCACTGCAAATGAGTTTTAATTTTTAAAATATAGCATAGAGAAATAATATATTCATTCCATGAGAACATTTATCAAAAAAGCAGATAGTAGTATTAATAACAGAATTACTAGAATATAAATGCAAAAACATTTACAGACATATAGAAGTAAACTATCTATATGAAAGAAATAGTAACACCATAAAACTTTAACAATCATAAACTCCTGAATTCACTTAACAACAGATTTAAAATATATAAAGCAATATCTGACAGAATTACAGGTAAAAATGAATAGAGCCCATCATATTTGGTGATTTTACCCATAACTATCAGATAAATAAACACTAAAGATAAATAAGTTAAGCTTTCATATCAAGGAGTTTTTTAAAAGTAACCCAAATAAAACCTGAAGAATATAGGAGTAAGGAAATAATTAAGCTAAGAGTATAAATACATAGAAAACAAAATATCAATAAATAGTCTTAACAGAAGCAAATGAGCTGTTGTATGTTTTTTAAAAAAATAATGAAAATATAAAACTCAAGTAGGACTGATATAGAAAAGCAAAATGTCATGCACTAATTCATGTGAGTAATTAAAAGAGTAATATAACTACAGATTTAGCAGTATTTCAAAATTATAATTACATATATTTACTTATCTATTGAGTAGTGCACAAAAAATTGTTAATTTACTCAAGGGAGAAGAATTAGGTTGCTGGGGGTGACAGCAGTGGGAGGCAGATTTTATTTTGAACAATTGTGAATGTATCATCTAGCCAATAAGAGTACTGCAAAAGGAAATAATTTTAAAATAAAATATAATACTATGAATAAGTTAATCCAATTAGTTTTTTAATATATTTTACTGATTACACTAGTACAGTTGTCCCATTTTTCCCTTTTTATTCCCCTCCACCCTGGACCTACCCTCCCATCAGCATTCCCCCACCTTAGTTCATATCCATAGGTCATACATGGGCAATACATAAGTTATTTGGCTTCTACATGTCCTACACTATTCTTAACCTCCCCTGTCTATTTTGTACCTACCATTTATACTTATTCCCTGTACCTTTTCTCCCTGCTCCCGCTCCCTACTGATAACCCTACATGTGATTTCTATTTCTGTAAATCTGTTCCTGTTCTAGATGTTTGCTTAGTTTGTTTTCATTTTTGTATTTTAGGTCCAGGTGTTGATAGTTGTGAGTTTGTTGTCATGTTAGTGTTTGTATTTTTGGTCTTCTTTTTCTGAGATAAGTCCCTTTAACATTTCATATAATAAGGGCTTTGTGATGAACTCCTTTAACTTGACCTTATCTGAGAAGCACTTTATCTGCCCTTCCATTCCAAATGAAAGCTTTGCTGGATAGAGTAATCTTGGATGTAGGTCCTTGCCTTTCATGACTTGGAATATTTCTTTCCAGCCCCTTCTTGCCTGCAAGGTCTCCTTTGAGAAATCAGCTGACAGTCTGATGGGAATTCCTTTGTAGGTAACTGCCTCCATTTCTCTTGCTGCTTCTAAGATTCTCTCCTTATTTTTAATCTTGGGTAATATAATTATGATGTGCCTTGGTGTGTGTTTCCTTGGGTCCAACTTCTTTGGGACTCTCTGAGCTTCCTGAACTTCCTAAAAGTCTATTTCCTTCACCAGATTGGGGAAGTTCTCTTTCATTATGTTTTCAAGTAAGTTTTCGATTTCTTGTTCTTATCTTCTCCTTCTGGCACCCCTACGATTCAGATATTGGAATATTTAAATTTGTCCCAGAGGTTCCTAAGCCTCTCCTCATTTTTTTTTAATTATTGTTTCTTCATTCTGTTTTGGTTGAATGTTTACTTCTTGCTTTTGCTCCAAACCATTGATTTGAGTTCTGGTTTCCTTCCTGTCACTGTATGTTCCCTGTACATTTTCCTTTATTTCACCTTTCATATACTTCACTTTTTCCTCTATTTTGTGACCATAATCAACCATTTCTGTGAGCATGCTGATTACCATTGTTTTAAACTGTGCATCTTATAGGTCGGCTCTCTCTTCATTGCTTAGTTGTATTTTTCTGGCACTTTGATCTATTTTTCCATTTGGGCCATTTTTTTTCTTGGCATGCCTGTAAGAGGTTCGTCCTTAGGTAGTCACCAGGGCGGGGCAACCCAGGTCACTGTTGTGGCACTGTATGTGGGGGAGGGGGTTGAGAGAAAACAATGCCTCTTGCTTGGCTCTCCACAGGCTTTCAGTCACTTTCCCTGCAACCCACAAGCAAATTGGGCCCTTCTGGTGCTGATTCCCAGGCGAGTGCTTTTGTGTATATTCTAGGACCCTGTGAGTCTCTCCAACGAACTCTATTGTGAGGGTTCCCCATGCTGGAACCCTGGGTTGTGGAGTCTGTCTCACTCCCCAGTTGTTCCTCCCAGTTTATCTGCACGTGAACTTGGGACCGCCTAGTCTGCCAGCCATTGCCTTGCTTGTGAGTCCTCTCTACCCCAGGTGCCCATCTCCACCCCTCCTACTGAATGTTTCTCCTTTAACTCATTGGTTGTCAGACTTCTATACAGTTTGATTTACTGGCAGCTGTGGTTATTTTTTGTTTTTAAATTTGTTATTGTCCTTCTTTTGGCTGGGCGAGGAAGCACAGTGCATCTGCCTATGCCTCCATCTTGGCCAAAAGTCCCAATTAGTTTTTTAAATGAATTAATAATAGAGCAATTAAATAACAATGACAATCAAAAATTGAATCTAAAATCAAGTATTTCCCACCACTCATCCCACTTTAAAAACAAAAACAAAAACAGCACCAGGACACTTATAAGTCAACGAGGGGGAAAAAAGTGATCCAAAGGAAAAGTGGACACAGTATAAGAGCAAGCAATCCACAAAATATAAAACCATGGTCAACAGAAATATGTGGAACAAAATGTTCAACCTTACTTGTTTTCGAGGAAATTCTAATTAGAATATATGGTATCATTTCACTGTAAATGAACTGGCAAAACTGACATTAATAAGAATTGGTAGAATATGAGCCAGATAAAGTCTCCTACACAGCTATTATGAGGGTAAACTAACACAACTACTTTGGATGGCAAACATTTATACCACATTTGAATGTGCTATAAATTTAAGAAGGGTATGCCCTGTGGGTGATTCAGTGTTCCTCTCCTGGGTCCATATACTCTAGTGATATTCACAACCACGTTCCCAAGAAAGACAAATCCAAGAATATTTATTGGACCCTTGTTTACAAGAGAGTAAAACTGAGAACAATATAAATAAAAATAATAAACAAATTTTGCTACAATCATGTAAAGAATTCAATAGAGCAATGAAGTCAATAAACCAGAAATCTATAAAATATGTGTCATGTATGTGTATAAATCTCAAAGATAATGTTGAGAGAAAATAAAGCTACAGAAAATGTAAAGTGTGGTATATTTATATAAACTTTTAAAGCAAAAAAATATATGTATTGTTTATAATTACATACACATGTAGGAAATGTATGAAGGATTAGTAACATTTCTAAGAGGTCTGGGATACAACCATGCTTCAATTTACAGAGAGCTTTCATTACACGTAATATGTAAATTTTAAAAGAAAAAATGTAAAGCAAATATGGCAAAATAGCAAGAATGGACAAAGCTGGGTACTAGGTACCAGTATATGTTATGCTATGTTCTGTACAGTATGTTTATAATATTTGATAATTTCAAAGAATAAACTTCTCACAGTGCTTGGCACATTAAAAACATGCAATACATGTGATTATTATTACTAGTAATACTTCCAGTGTTAGTTTGATGCTGATGATACTATAATTGCTATTATCACTGCAACTACTAACAGTCTACCCCCTACAAGTATTACTAATATAAAATAATTATTTTGCAAAAAAATAATTGAAACTTGTTCACATTGAATATTTCAAAGGACATTATTTGCTTATTTAACACTTGATTAAGCCAACCTTTAAAAACAGAGACTTATTTAATAAACTGTATTATCTAGGAACCTTTTTCTCAGAATATTTTCTCTTTCATAGTCATTTGTTGATTATCACTCTTACAGGCATGCAAGAAAAATTAAAATCTATAACTAAGAGTCAAAAAAAGTAAAATTATCTCCCAGAAAACAAAAAACTTACATTTTCATGAAGTAATCTTATATTTAATTACATGATTAATAGTTATTTAATATGAAAACAAACATGCTTACATGATTATCTTCTCCTTAAACAGCATGGTATAGAAAGAAATGCATTAATAATTAAAACATTACCTAGTTTTATGTATTATAACACAACTTGAAATATTAGTAAGAGAATACAGAAAACAAGTCAACTTACCCTGTGGAGAGTGTAAGGAGGATTTAACGTTATTATTCACTGATGCACAAATGCTTTTCTCTTTTTCTTTCCCTGAAAGTCCAGTTGTACTTTCCACACCTGATTCTGTATTCCCTGCTTCAGCCTTTAAACAAACTGGAAATTCAGGGGTAAGCTGAATATGTCTCACGTGGGTTTTTTGATCATTCAAACACACAGGAAGTTTAATTACCTATTAAGAAATAAATGTTATCAAAATATTTGAAAATATTATGTATGCAGGTAATTTTCTCTGGAACAATGATACAATTCACAAAATCCAAAAGGTCAATTATGAAGTCAGTTTATCAAACTTTATTACTTGTTTTTGTTTGGTTGCTTTACAAAAAATAAAGTATTTTGTATTAACAGTTTTGCATAATTGTTTCAGCTATTGCCATTGTTCTGTATGTTTATTAGTGTTTTCTTTGTTTTACTTTATATTTTAATTTCTTCTTCCAAATAACGTTGTCTAATATTCATATTGAGATGGAATTAGCAAATATTCATTAACTATTTGTTATCCCCCCAAAACATTTTAATTTCTAAAATAAGTAACAATAAAGAATTTAGTGGTGACTATACAGGTTTTCAGTGCAATTTTTTAGACTTTTCTCTGTTTAAAATATGAATAATAAAGGACTTAGAAGAAAATAATCAATGACATGGGAAATGAAATACTCAGAAAAGTGAGACATCAATAGAAAAGATTTTATGGGAAAAGTAAAAGTCTGTCTTGCTTGCATAATTTTCTCTCTCATTATTTTTTTCACACATGCTGTGGAGGCTGAATCAGAGTAGTTGTCCTGTCCCCTCCTTCATGCCCAGGATCATTAACCTGAGTTTGATCACTGATAACACTATGGCAAAACACATGAGGTCATGGCCAAGCCACATTGTCCTGGTTCTGCCAGCCCCTCTCAGACTAGAAATTTCTGTCCCATAACAGACATGGGGGGAAGGAATCATCAGGATTTATTTGACTAAATTTGTTTCCTTTAATCTCTTCTAAGGCTGTGTTGCAAGTAATACTTTTCTGTTCCAATATCTATTCTTTCTGTCTCCCATTCTAAGTTACTCTTTTTCTGAGTAACTCCAAAATGAGTACTCAAATTTACATTTATTTTTTCAGAAACATTTGCATTTAGGAAAAGTCACATCAGAAAAATCCACATACAGTTATGTGCCACATAACATTTCAGTTAATACTGGATTACATACAATGAATTCTGTCTGGAACAAGTCCAGCCATTGCAAATATAACAAGAATAGTTTGTGGACATCAATGCAACCTGGCAGCCATGGAGAGTAGACTGGAATGCACATGTGTAAACAATGACAACTTCAGTGTGCTAGTCAACAGGGGCGGTAGATGCCATTGAGTGGTCATCTCATTCAACATAACTGAACAAGTAGAGCAACAAATCTGCATCAAATTTTGTGTGAGGCTTGAACATTCCTTTGCAAAAACTATTCAGATAATTCAGAAGGCCTCAGCTATGGGCAACTGGTGACTGGCAGCTTGCCTGCTCATGATCATATCTTGTGCAGAGTTTTTTTGCAAAACATCAAATCACCCAGGTGACTCAGCCCCCCACAGCCTAGATTTGGCACCCTGTGACTTCTGGCTTTTCCCAAAACTAAAATCACCTTTGAAAAGGGAGAGATTTCAGACTGTCGATGAGATTCAGGAAAATATGATGGGGCAGTTGAGGGCAATTAGGAGAACTGTGTGAGGTCCCAAGGTGCCTACTTTGAAGGGTAGTGAAACATCATTGTCCTACATACAATGCTTCTTGTATCTTGTATCTTCTTCAGCAGACATATCTATTTTTCATATTACATGGCTAGATACCTCTGGACAGACCTCATATATGACAATATGTATATTATAATGAAACTATAAAAATCCTATCACCTGGTAATATCATAGCTGTTGAAAGGTTGTAGTGAAACACATTACACATTACTTGTGGTGAGGCCAGTGTAAACAAACCTCCAGTGGTGCCAGTTGTATAAAAATATAACATATGCAATTATGTACAGTACATAAAACTTAATGATGATAATAAATTACTATGTTACTGGTTTATATATTTATTATACTACACATTATTATTATTTTGCATGTACTTCACAAGAAGAATGGTTTTTGAATACTATTTTATTTTATTTTATTGTGGTTCAAATAGAGTTGTCCCTATTTCCCCACCACCACTTTAGAATATAAAGAAATTGCTGTAAAGCAGTATGCAGTGTTATGCCATCAGCAGTCTCATATGTCTTGTGTTTACTATGTTTCTTGACTGCTTTCATCTTGCACTCTTCTACACCATAACACTCAGTACAGGTTTGCAACCCAGAAGCAATAGGTTATACCATAAGTCTGGGTGTGTAGTAGGCTTACCATCTAGGTTTGTATAAACAGTCTATGATATTTGGATGATAAAATCACCTGACAAATTTTTCACAGTATATTCCCATTGTTAAATGGCACATGACTGTATTTCAGAATTTCACATAAAAGGAAAATGGGGTTTCAATATGAGAATTTTTATCTACATCATACTAAAAGACAAACATGTATATTTCTATTTATTCTGCATTATAATCAGAAAATAATGTCTTGCATAATGGTGCTCTCTTCATCAAGATGACTCAGTAACTACCCTCCTTAAACTTACAAAGTAAGAAAATTCCTGTTATTCTCTATCATACAAGAATATCGTGGACAATTGCATCTATCTGTAATGGTTAATGACTAAGTGGGATGTGAAGATAAGTCATATTACTTTTTCACAAAGGATTTTTTTAAGTACAGTCAAACATAAAAGAGGAAAATGTTAGTAATATGCTCAAAATCAAGTAAATTTTAGTGAAATCAATTATTTTAACATTGTTTACCAAACTACTTTTCTTTGTTAAATATATTTTATTGATTATGCTATTACAGTTGTCCAATTTTCCCCCTTTACTCCCCTCCACCCTGTACACCCCCTCCCACCCACATTCCCCCCTTCAGTTCATGTCTGTGTGTCATACCTATGAGTTCTTTAGCTTCTACATTTCCCATACCATTCTTACCCTCCCCTGTCTATTTTCTACCTACCATCTATGCTACTTATTCTCTGTACCTTTTCCCTGTCTCTCCTCCTCCCACTCCCCTGTTGCTAATCTTCCATGTGATCTCCATTTCTGTGGTTCTGTTCCTGTTTTAGTTGTTTGCTTAGCTTGTTTTTGTTTTTGTTTTAGGTGTGGTTGTTAATAATTGTGAGTTTGCTGGCATTTTACTGTACATGTTTTTTATCTTCCTTTTCTTAGATAAGTTCCTTTAACATTTCATATATTAAGGACGTGGTGATGATGAACTCCTTTAACTTGACCTTATCTGGGAAGCACTTTATCTGCCCTTCCATTCTAGATGAAAGCTTTGCTGGATAGAGCAATCTTGGATGTAGGTCCTTGCCCTTTGTGACTTGTAATACTTCTTTTCAGACACTTCTTGCCTGCAAGGTCTCCTTTGAGAAATCAGCTGACAGTCTGATGGGAACTCCTTTGTAGGTAACTGTCTCCTTGGCTCTTGCTGCTTCTAGGATTCTCTCCTTCATTTTAATCTTGGCTAATGTAATTATGATGTGCCTTGGTGCGTTCCCCCTTAGATCCAACTTCTTTGGGACTCTCTGAACTTCCTGGACTTCCTGGAAGTCTATTTTCTTTGCCAGATTGGGGAAGTTTTCCTTTATTATTTGTTCGAATAACTTTTCCACTTGTTGCTCTTCCTCTTCTCCTTCTGGTACCCCTATAATTCAGATGTTGGAATGTTTAAAGATGTCCTGGAGATTCCTAAGCCTCTCCTCATTTTTTTTAATTCTCATTTCTTCATTCTTTTCTGATTGGATGTTTCTTTCTTCCTTCTGGTCCTCTCCATTGATTTGATTCCCAGTTTCCTTCCCATCACTATTGGTTCCCTATACATTTCCCTTTATTTCACTTAGTGCAGCCTTCATTTTTTCATCTGATTTGCAACCAGATGAAAACCATAGCCAACCAGTTCTATGAGCATCCTGATTACCAGTGTTTTGAACTGTGCATCTGATTGGTTGGCTATCTCTTTGTTGCTTAGTTGTATTTTTTCTGGAGTTTTGATCTGTTCTTTCATTTGAGCAGTTTTGTTTTGTCTTGACACACCAGTTACATAGTAAGGGGCAGAGCCTTAGGTGTTCATCAGGGTGGGGCAACTCAGTTGCTGGGTTGTGATGCTGTATGTGGGGCAGGAGTCTAAGAGGGAACAATGGTGCTTCCTCCACTCTCTGCTGGATTTCAGTCACTTCCACCACTTCCCCCAAGCAAACTGAGCCCTTCTGGTGCTGATTCCTGGGTGTGTGCATCCTAGGACTCTTTGGGTCTCTCCAGTAAGCTTTCCTGTGAGGCTGGGAGTGTCTCCCAGAACCTCAACCCTCACACATGTTTTCAATTGGTGTATTGAGGCTTTATTTCCCTGCTCCGGGGTCCTGTCTTGCTTCCTAGTTCCACCTGGTTTATCTGTGCACAAATGCGGGACCGCCCAATCCACCAGCTGCCTTGTGCACCACACCCCTCCACAATCCGCCACCTTGCTGGGTCCACCCGCTGCTGCCTTGTGGTCCTGGGGTCTGCCAACCATTATTCTTTTTGCCACACAACCTTCCTCCTGCCACCCCCCTGCCACCTCCCCCCCACCTGACTCAACCCCTCCTATGGGTCTGAATGAATGTATCTACTTTAACTCCTTGGTTGTCAGTCTTCCATACAGTTCAATTTTCTGTCAGTACTGGTTGTTTTTTGTTTCTAAACTGCTTCTGTCCCTATTTTGGTTGTGCAAGGAGGCACAGTATGTTTATCTATGCTTCCATCTTGGCCAGAAGTCACAACTACTTTTCTTAACTTTCTAAAATTTTTAACATCACTTCTTGATTTTATCTGAAGTGTAAGATATATATAATATATATATTATATATCTTTATGATCAACACCTGCACTGCATAAATCATTTATTACAAAACAAGTTAGTGTTCCTATTGCCATGCCATAATTTATGTAACACTGAAATTTAGGTACAATTAGTGAAAAAGTTACAGAAAATTTATAGATGCCTTTCATACTGGCCAATAACTATACCAAAATTCATTTTTTATGGTTATATTTTCCTTTTTATTTCATCTTGATTTCTTGGTACAGTACATAAGTCACTGATTTGTTAAATATTTTATGGCTTTTCTATAGTTTTCTTTAATATTTGGGTGATTTTCCAGTGTTCCTTTAGATTCATATGAGTTGTTTTCTTAATAGCATACCTAGACTACTCAAATAAGATATTTTAGCAAAACATTATAACAGAATTAGCTAAAAGAAAAGATTGCTAGCTAATTAAATATAAAATAAGTAAGAAACAGAAAAGCCATCACACAAGAAATATATCAAACTATCATTTTTTTTACCAAAAACATGGGTTTCCTTGTAGATATATTCAAAAGGAAGAAAATGTCATAGCATTTTATGATACAACTACCATGGGAAAATATCATAATCTGGATGAACATATTTAGACATATGAGACAAAAATAGACTAAAATTGTGTTGCAATTCTTTATACTTAATCTGTGCTATAATTTTCTGTTTTGTACCTCTGTGATATTTGCCTTGAATAAATTTATGCAATGGCATTCCTGCTAAGACTTGTTTATAAAAATAAGACTCCAAATATATATAAATAAATGGGTATGCCCAAGGTTTTGTTTTGTTTTGTTTTTGTTTTTGTTTTTGTTTTTTGAGATAAACAAAAGAGCTTGCTTTGAAATGTATGTATGGCAAAGGGAGCTTTATTATGTCCGGTCACATGCTGTGGAAATGTGGACCGTTAATTATCTTTTGTATAAATACATGTCTGTCTCATCAAATAAATGGCAAACAACTGGAAGGCAGAGACAAGATCTTTTATATCTTTAGATTGTGAGAACAAGCAATGCCCAATACAAAACTAAAGCTCAATAAGTGCCTTCAATTAAAAAAAAAAGTACCTTAACTGTAGCTTCATGTTGAAGAAACTAATCTGCTACAGGAGCAAAAGACTGTAAACTGAGAATCAGGGACTTCAGTGACCATCTTAGCCTATTCATAACATAGGAGTATGGATTAAATTATCTTTAAAATTCCCACTAACTCTAGAATTTTATTCCTTCTTTGCAGACATCAGTTTAATCTGCATTACTATAAATTAGCATTAAGATATAATTTCTTTTAAGGGTTTATGATTATTGAACTTTTCAATAGCATGAAAGGAAACTGAAGGCTAGAGAGAAGGTTTGGAAAAGCTGTAAATTATTTTTCTACTTACTAAACCATATTGCAAACCTGAAAATAGAGATTGCACAGCCAGTTGTTCAAATCGAGACAAATCAAATCTTCAATTTTCCTGAAGTTGTTGAGTTTCTGGTCATAATGTCCTTGGAGAAGGGGACACTTGAATTTTCCCTCTACGACATCAAAGTTGTTATCACATAAAGGGAAGGCTGACCAGCCCACAACACAGTCACAACAGGCATACTTCCCACGAAGGAGAAAGAGTTCGAATAAGAAAGCCATGTCAGGTTTCACGTCTTTCTTTGGAGGAAGTACCTACAAAAGATATTAGACAAAGAAAGATTGGGATACTTGCATACAGAAACACATCATATTCAGTGATGCCATAGATAATTTAAAATTAAGTAAAAGATGGGTTTGTACTTCTCTTTTTTGCTCTCAAAAGCTCTCCTTTGGATGTATTTATGTAAATAACCTTTCCAGCCCAAGGTAACTGAGCAATCTTAACAATGAAAATGAGACCCAAACAGTAAAATATGAATTTGATCTTGCCAGTTCAAAATTCTGTACTTTATGATCCTTAGGAATCGAAGTCATAATATATTAACTAACATGGTATGCTACACTTTCCAGTCCTTTTTGCTGGAACCAGTACCTCTGTGAATCTATTTTCTATATTCTCTGTTTCTATATTTTGTCATAATCATTGTTTTCCTGGCCTGCCATTCACCTTTGTAGCTCTCATGCACCACACATAAGTGCTTTGTGGTTGGAGCACATTCAAGCAGCCACCAGCAAATACATAAATAAGTGGAACATCAAATCTTTATCTATCTATCTATCTGTCTGTCTGTCTATCTACCTGTCTCTATCTCTAAAATCAATATATACAAATTTAAATAAATAAATAAATAAAATTTGAAAATTTGACTATCATACTCCAGAGAAAATAATTCTAGGCATAATGATAGCTTGAATTACTATTATTAAGTCCAGCTCTTCAATGAAAGATAGTGTCCTATTTAATTTTGTGACTATCCTGTTTATTTCAACTGATACTATAATGCACATCATTATAGGAGCAACTTGTCAGTGCTAAATAAATATGAATGGGACATAAAGATGGATGTAATGATCAGATTGACCAAGCCATTGGCCAAGTTCCCAGATGCAGAGATGGAGCCTACCCTCAGCCCTTAAAAACATTTGTTAAGAAAATGTAAGATATAAATGTTTTTTTTAAATAGAGTACAGTTAAGTATTTTTAATGCTATTAAAATAATTATAAATGCTTATATGAATAATTATAAATGGGCAAAAATAAGGACTTGTTTAAGACTGTTATAACAATATATTTAGCCAAAAGTATATAGGCATATTTTATATGATTTATGTAAATATTCCAAAATTTAGTTTATGTTTAAAATGAAACAGAAGCATCTGTTGAAAAATGCCATAACCCTGTGGCAGCTGCTATTAAACCATTAACAGGATCAGGTTTCATTTAAACCAGATTTACCATTTTCGACAACAGCCCATGGGAAAGCTAAAAACATTAGGCACAAATTACTTGACAAGAGAGATTCTTAATCAAGCCATACTTTTCATTTGGCTAGTTGGCTATGAATAACCTCTGTGATAAGAAAATAAAAGCTAAATGAAGAAGAAAAATAAAATCAAGAACCTACTTTGAACTATCATTTAAAATAAAGCTCAGCTGATGTTAATACATTAATTTCATCTATTTTATTCCTACTTTTAGAAGTAAAAACTAGTGTTCCTCTCATAATGACCTTCTCTTAGTGAATATGTTCAAAAGAGATAAAATAAGAATTTGACCAGTACTGACCCAACTCTATCATTCATTTTTGTTACGGTTTTGGGAAGTCACTTTTCTTTTTGTATCTAAGTTTCTATGCATTCAAGTCTCCTCATCAATAAAAAAAAAGACATAATAAGAATCTTTCTCACAGAGTTGATGCAATCATCAACTTGGGTAGTAAATATAACAATGTTCACATACAGCCATCACTGGTATAGCTCAGTGGATTTAGCATGGGCTGTGAACCAAAGGGTCACCAGTTCGATTCCTAGTCAGGACACAGGCCTGGGTTGCAGGCCAGGTTTTCAGGGGGGGCCATGTGAGAGGCAACCACACAATGATATTTCTCTCTCTTTCTCTTTCCCTTCCCCTCTCTCTAAAAAATAAATAAATAAAATATTTTAAAATGTTCATAAACATATGAAATGTATATAACTGTTATTATTTATTTTAAGCCTTTATCCCAACCACTTCTAAAATAACTCAAACTATAGTTCATTTTAATAAAGAAGAGAAGAATTTATTAAGTTTTAAGCTCACCTATAAACATATAAAACACCAGTATCGTTTTGTGCATGAGAAACAATTTAAGGCTACAAACCACCAAGTAACATCACACAGCACTGTCTCACTGGTAATGATGTAAAAAGGAAGCCAGTGCTCTCGCACAAAATGAACTTCAACCTCTTTTACAAAATAAAGTGGTCACATGCAACTACACTGACAGTCCCAAAAATATAAATATAGCGACAAGACTAAATCTGGCCATTGCTCTTGACTGAAAAAGAGGATAAGAGCCATAAGTTATCAAATAAACAAATTTGCTTTATCTGACAACAGCTCTTTTACCTTACTTGTTCTTTTAGTACCCTCTCCCTTGCTGAATAGCATAGAAGAGATATTTTTCCTAATGTGTAGCTTGGGACTCACTCTTTTCCTCTCTGGCAAGAAAAGATCACTAAGGTTCATTGTACCTCTCAGAGGACCATTTCCACATACCTGAATATTTCCACAACTGTCCTATGCTGTTGTATTTCCATGCATATTTTTCAGTAGCTTGAAACTGAATATGATATATTAAGGAAAATAAATGTATCCATTTCCAGTCAACTACCAATGCCATCTCATTATAATAGTCCTGGTAGTAGGAAGTGATAATGTCCTTAGAGTATCTTCACTTTCTGAATACCATGAAGAGCATTCTTTCTGGGCAAAAGACACTGCAGACCTGCATTTCACTGCATAACATAATGGTGATGCATTTGATCTTCCATATCATAGAAGGTGTATGTAAACGGATAGTGGAGAACAAGCAGAATCCATGAAGCAAACAAGAATTGTGAAGGCTGAGTTTTGCATGGAGGATTGAAAGAGAAAGCAAAATTCTTTCCACCTGGACACCAAATACTTTTAAACTAAAGCAATTCAGAGAGGATTAGGGCAGTCTTACGAAATAAAAATGCATATCAGATGAAGTATTCTTCAGTTGTCTGGTCTCTCTGAAATTTTTTTGTAATGATTATTGTTTTTATAATCAGAAAAAGTTAATAAAGTGGTTTCAAAAACAGAAGATTTCAAGATTCTCCTTCTAGGTATAATGGGCATGGTCATGAATTCACTATAACATGGAAAAAACAGTTAAATTTTTAAATTATGTATATCCATTAATCCATTGGGGATTTGAGGACACAAGAAAACTTAGGGGAAACTAAGTCTCAGGAATAAGCCCTTCATATGTGACTTAGGACAGCTCTAGGCAGCTTTGAATCCCAGGAAACAGTTTGACAGAATAGAATTGTTATTGGGTGGGAGCCTGCCAGTAATAGGAGACACTGGCTGAACTTCTAACAATCTTGGGATAATATGAAATACTGGATACATACGAGCCCCAAACACAGAGAAAATCTTTACTACCAATTCTCAACCTTAGTACTTTTATCCAGTGCCCAGCAACATGTGAGCACTTAGGTCCAGGCTGGGAGTCGAAGAGAGAGCTCCAGTGGCACAGAAATCATGATGCAGGGCTAAAAAGCAGAGCAGCATCTCAGTTACATGGGGCTTGGATACCAAGCCCAGCTGAAAAGAGAAATCTTTTATATCTCAAAACTTTTGAAAGCAGTGATGAATTAAAACTAGAGCTACAACCTAACACCAATTTAGGTCAATTCTAATCATAGAGATCAGTTTCTTACCTGCCTGACAGAGACAGGCTTTTCTGGGGGGTGGGTGGGTAGGAGAAATAAATATTTTCTACTTCAGTCTTACAACTCATTTATACACAGTGTCTAGCATACAATACACAACTATGAGACATCCATAAAAACAGAAAACAGTGATGCATAGACAAAATGAAACAGTCAATGGAAACTGAACCACAGATGACTGAGTTATAGAATTAACAGACAAAGACTTTAAAAAATTGTTACAATTAGGATAAAGAAGAAAAAACATGGAAATAATCAATGAAAGGGATGAAAATTTCAGGAGGAAAAAAACTTTAAAATGTTTTAGAACAGAAAAATATTCAAAATTTAAAAATTGATTCAATGGGCTTAACAGTAGAAATGGAGGGAGTAGGAAAAGGATAGGTCAACAGAAATATCCCAGCTGAAGCACAGCAGCAATAAGAATTTTAAAAACAAAAACAGAATAGAGCATGTGAGACTTGTGGGACAATAATAAATTCTATACACATATAATTTAAGTTCTAAAAGAAGAACAAGAAAATGGTTCAGGAAAAATAAGTATTTTAAGAGATAATCACTGAGAATTTTCCAAAATTGATGGAAGACATCAATCCACAAAACCAAAGAGCTTAGACTCCTTAGAGGAAAATAAAAAGGAAACAATACCTAGGCATATCATTGTCAAAACAATAAAAATAAAAGATAAAAATAACGGGTCATCTAAGATATCTTACAGAAACGTTCATTACTGGCTGTCAAAAAGTCATACTGTGTCACATATCCATATTGCCTCATCTTGAAATTCTGAATCTAATAAAAACATTTTATACTTGTAGAACATTCTATTGGATTGGCCAAACAGTCCATTTAGATTTTTCCATAAAATAAAAGACACATTTTTTATTTTCACCAATAACTTTATTATATGGGTATTTTGAGTACATCGGCTATCTCTTGCTATCAGCTTCTAGTGGGCAGAGGCCAGGGGTGCTGCTAAGCATCTTCTGATGCATAAGACAGCCCCACAGCAAAGAATTATTTGGTCAAAATGTCATTAGTACTGAGAAACTTCACAAACCACTTTTGACATGTTTAATTAGTCACATCACCTTCTCCATACACTGCACAAATCTATTTTTGTGTTTCAGTAGCATTTTTACCTTTCTTCAAATAATAAAGTGTAATACTCCAAAATGTTGAGTATCATTTTCTATCCTCAATATTAAAATGGCCGCACAAAAATTCACCAATATTGATGTTTCTTTTTTGAATACACACTGATGTGACAGATGGCACAATGCAACCTA